CAGTTGCTTTACTTTTGAGCAGAAAAATAAGTCGTTTAAAAACCAATCAGCCACATGCCGAAACTTCAAGAACATTTGCAAAAGTTTGGCCAAACGACAGAGCTTTAATATGGTTATCAATTTACTTGATAATCCATTTACTGACAAAATTGTATACAAGACCGGAATCCTAATGCTACCTAAAAACAGCAAAAGCAGACATTTTTTGCAAGGAAACGATGAACCCGTGTTTGTCCCAAAAATGTAACGCTTCAATTCAATGGGATAGAATTTCAACCTAATTTAGCAGTTGCTTGTAAAAAACCTAGCATGGATCTGTTTCCTCTATTCGTCGTAATTAAAGAAATAGTTGTAGTCGACAACAAAATTAATTTTTTGGTGCAGGAATGCAATACCACAGACTACAGTGAATTCTTTCAAGCTTGCGAAGTTGAAATTGATGAAAGGGAGCAATTTGTCAATACTGATGAAATTCATAACCACTCGTGAAGGTAACCGGCTTTTGGATGCCGTACAACAGTAAAAATAAGTACATTTCTAGGCGCTTCTACCGCCGAAATAACTGAAAGAATTAATGAACACGCTGTGTTATTATTCATTACAGGAATATTATTATACCTATAATTCACTTTCAGATGATGAAGAAATCACCAGCCTTGCACTATTTATGTCGCTAGATGACACCGACTTCACCCGGCCAGAGATGCCAGATTTTTTTCTTTGCAATTCCGTAGACTTATTCAAATCTACGGATTTCTACGGTTTTTTTTTTGTCGAACTTCGGATAGGTGATATTTACGTTAAATGATAAATCAATGAAAGAACTTTTGAAAAAATGGTTTCAAATTTCGATTTTTCGGAACCACTCTTACTAACACGTGCACACTCACATACGCATATGTATATCTCGTTGAGCTTAGTCGATTGGCATAAGATACTCTGCCCTCCGGGTCTAACATCAAAAGTTGAAATGAAATTAGAATCTTCAACTATCAAAAGTTAGTTTTACAAGTGCTATTTATACTTTTTTTTAAGAAATATTAAACAGCAAAAAAGGATATCATCCAAATTCCACTTAACTAATTTCATCAGTGTCAATTCCATTAAAAAACTTATCAAAACCTAACCCCCTGAAGTTCTTATCCTCTAGGTGAAAATGTCAAGATCACAGGTATTAAAATCTTATGGATACCAAAATTAATTGAGTGGAATTAAATGAAAGATAACCTTTCTTCCTGTTTTATTTAAATCATTCCGATAACAACCCAATCTCATTGCTTCATTTAAGAAATATAAAAATACTTGGTGAATCAGACAGTTTGTTTGAGATATATTTGTAAATTTTATCGTTTTTGTTACATTTATGTGTATTAAAATGATTTTAGGATAACTTATCATATCAAACAGTAACAAATTAAACTTTGTTAAAATTTGTAGAAGATAACTGACATCTTCTTCGTTTGTCTGTAATTTAGTGACATACATTGCAGAGTTGAACTTGCTTCGCATGTTCACTGGGATTGAAACTGAGCTAGAAGTTTCAAGTGTTTTCAGCCAATCCTTTGTTCTTAATATTCCAACCAGCGTTTCGTTTGATAATCTGTCTGAAGAAAGTCTTGTTGAGGTTTTGGGCTGAAAATATTCGTTCAACCGCCACGGAATAATGCGGTAATGCAAGAATCGCCTTCAGTATCCGCCAAAGAAATGGAAAGAAGAAATTTTGATCGTTTTTCCGCAGCTCAAGAATCTTTGTCTAAAAATCGTCAGCATTCCCAAGTAACATTACAAGTTTTATCGATGTTTTAAAGCATGCTACAAGTCTAAATCATGGTCTTCAGAATTCTCATAAAACCAAAATTGTTACTTGGGTTGTCTTCATCAGTAGCACCGATGTCTTTAAAGTCGAAAACTTGCAGCTCACTGAACTCATTATCGACTTGCTGCCAGTCTTCATTATCAATTACGTTGTTGAAATGACCGAGTAGATGACCCAAACTAGTGGATTACTTAAGTTTTTTCGGCTCCAAGAGGGTTAGATTCCTGAATACCACGTTATCCAATTGCAATCGTTTAAGCATTTGCTTAACCAGCTCCACATTTAAGCATAAACACCGGTTTTGAAATTCTGTAATGCTTTTCCTGTCATATTTTACGGAGCTGATGAGGACTGATACTTTAACGCCAAAGTATATTTCACCCAATGGTTTGAAATCGTTGTTTTAAAATCTAAGCTCTTTCGGATTAGAAGTCAGCGAGTAAAACTTAAGGTTTTACGAAATAGCCCAAGATTTGGTTTACTTTTTGTGTCAAAGTAGAGTGCATGGATATTATTTCTGGCTTTTCTGCTTGAAAAAGCTTGTTAATTTTATCGATAATCGGCAGAATTAAATTAAGCAACTCCAGGTACAGCTCGGTAATTGGGTCTTGTAGCACGTTTCTATTTTCGTTGCGTTGGAAAGCGAGCAAGAAAACGGTTTACAAGTTGCAGCACAGAAATTCAAAACAACCCAAAATTAAGTTCTTTTCACTCATCTCCCATGTTCCGTACGATAAGCCAAATTTGGGTAAACCGGCTCAAAGTAGTTTGCATTTAAGCACGGCAAAAAAAATACCCATAGCTAAGTTATTTTCAATTTTTTCTACCCAAAATTAAGTTCAATTAACTCAAATTTGGGTATATCGCATATTACTCAATTTTGGCATCTCGTACGGAACTAGACGGTTGAGTCAAATCTTTCGTTCTATTTTTGACAACAATAGCGAGAGGAAATGAAACGGGCAGAGGTCAAATAACTCAAATTTGAGTTTAAAAAACCCAAGCGGTGGGTAGTTTTGTTTTTCTGTGAGAGGTGTATTTTACTTTATGCTTCTTTCCCTTCAGAATCATATTATACTCTAGATTGTAAAATTGGATTCTGAAGGGAGGAAACTAGTAAACTGACGTACACTGAATAAAAAAAATCCGTAGAAACTGTACCAAATTCCGTAGATTTTGCCTACGGATCCGTATTTCCGCAAAAAATTGTCAAATCCGTAGATCTACGGAGATTTCCGTAGATCTGGCATCTCTGCACCCGGCTGAAATTAAAAACTAGAATAATAAAAACAATACTGAGAATACAAATGCACTTAACCTCGAGCCAGCAGATAATTGAAGAGGATTACCTTGAAACAGCAGAAGAAACAGAGGAAATCGGTGCAGCAGAACAACAAGCAAGCGAAGAATCGATCCACCTCGCTAGCCGCTCGAGCCAGATAAATCCGTATGAAGGAATGACGTTGGAGCATGTAGAAATATGACAGCTCCATGCACCATGTAAACATCACATTGAGCTGCATCTATAATATCAACAGGGGTAATAAAGTGTGGGAACCCAACGTTGAGTATAATCATAGTCACCTACTTTGGGTACTACTAACTTACTTTTGGGTAGAAAGCTAGTGGAAAATTCGAACGAATTGCACACAAGTATATCAAAACTATAGTTGAACTTGAATCCGGTTTACTTATTTATAGTGCCCAGATGAGTGAAAAGAACATACTTTTGGGAACGTTTTCCTTACCGTGCAGATGGCCAATGAGTCAAGCTGAACATTGCATTAGGTCCTAAGTAACATTGATCGATTCTTTTCGTCGACTTTTTCTTTCGTTAATAACTTGAGCATATAACCGTTTCTTGTTGTGTTTGTCGTATTAGATGCTAGATAAAAGCTTCTTTGTCGATCTGTGTGTTGAAAATACCTGGGAATGTCTTTACATGGCCGTAAGGCTACAAAGAGAAAGTCAACGAAGAGAATCTGTCAATGTTACTTTGGACCTAATGCAATGTTCAGCTTGAATTCAGTAACTGAGTCGAATTCAACTCAAAATAACAAAAAGTGACACTGACGAATTTACGAAGAGAATCGATCAATGCAGACAGAGCTAATGAAATCTAACGTCACCTTTCAAAAATACTTATGATTATCTTTACCGACTCTCTCTTTCGTTAATAACTTAGCTTCAAAAACATGTTCGGCTGTTCTTATCCTCCAATATAGTTAAAAATACTTTCTTTTAACATGCTATGTTGAAAAATTAGTTCAAAATATCAATGCAGTCAAGTTATTAACGAAAGAAAAAGTCGATGAAGAAAATCGATCAATGTAGATTGGCCTATTTGAAAAGTGACGCGAGGTTTCATTAATTCTAGATCAACAATAGAAAAGGGCCCATCAGCATTTGTAAACAAACCGTTCCAAAGCCCTTTACTCACAAAGTGAAGGCCAGCCACGCAAATCAACACTATCATCGGAAACTTCTACTTACACGATGATGGTGTTGGTTTGTGTGGGCGGCCTTCGATTTGTGAGGGATGGGCTTTGGAACGGTTTGTTTATAAATGCTGATGGGTCCTTTTCTATTGTTGATCTAGAATTCCTGTTTGCATTGATCGATTCTCTTATACGGCCGATTTCTTCACCTCCGCTTAAGCATTAAACCAGGTTTAATTATATGGGTAAACCTGGTTTAAGATTTAAGCGGAGTTGAAGACATCGGCTCTTATAGTCAATTCGACAGTGACACTTTTTGTAATTTTGAGTTTAATTCGGCTCAGTTACTGAGCTAGTTTCATTGGCCGTGTACTGTTAGTTGTAATTCAAGCCGAACAATGCATTAGGTCCATACCATTGATCGATTCTCTTAATCGACTTTCTCTTGTATCGAACAGTGTTAAAAAAAATAGCTTGAAATATACATGGCCATGGAGATGCAAACAGAAAATCGACGAAGAGAATCTCTCAATGTTATTTAAGACCTAATCTATTATTCGGCACGTTTTTTTTTTATTTATTTCTATGGGATAATATTTTGATCAAATGCAGCTCTCATATTTCTACTTGTGTTAAACAATGACAATATTGTTAAATTGTGTTGATAAACCCTGGTGCATACTCAATATTAACAGGGCAGAGGTATGTTAATATTATATAAATAATGTTCTGAATTTTGCCAGGAGATCAACATCGATACCGTTCTATCAAAAACTAATAAAGGTCAGGAGTTGATGGAAGCTTTGAAGGAAAACCGCAATCTTGATGACAAGATGATTAAAAAGATAACCCACCTGCTATGTGATTTCCTAACATCGATTTACGGAGTGTAGGTTTTGAAATAGTTCGAAAATAAGTTTGAATCCTTTTTCATATTCTACTTTTGTATTTCAGCCGTGCTACCACATTCCACAAAAACCTTTTGGCCAAATCTCTAGTGCAGTCGTATCCGATGTTGGCATCAAAAGTTTCCGACATTCCTCAAGTACGAATTTAACCTGTACCAAAAACAAGGAGTGATCCCTCTAACAGGATATTAACTACACAAATTCTCCATTATTATATGTTTAGGCCTTATGGTTTTATGTCGATGGTCGGGGGCCAGGACGACACGCAGGAAAAATCCATTATCATTTGGAATACCTCGCTAAACAATCTGGCCAAAGAGTTATCAACAGAAAATCGGCACCGAAAGAGGAAACGTGTGAATCAAGCGAGCATCAGCCACTAGGTGAGATCGAACTGATAACTTTGGTAGGTTATATTAATTATATGTTATTGGTGTATTTTATAATTTTTTTTATTTACCAGATCGAGGAATTGAAGTTTGTCGTTCCGACCGAGGACAATAAAACTCGGATTGCATATTTATGGGATTCAACATTTGACTACCGCTGCCAGTATCGTGCGAATAAGGATGTTTTTTCGTTTCTGGAAGAATTTCCTGTTGCCTCGGCGTTTGATGGCGAGCTGGTATTCAATGTTTAATGCTCTGTACAAACTCTCTAAATGAATGTTCAACCATATTTTTCTTATCCAGATTGATTACGACTTCAAGAAAATGAAGAAAAACACGGTGGACTTCACCGATAACTGGAAGCATTGGCAGGAAAAAATTTTGCAAGGACATCGCCACCTATTCAGAGAGATAAGTAATGGTTCGTATAACATTCATTCATTAATAATTCATCAACTAGATTTGCATGTGTTGTGGTTTGTTTAGATTTTGTACGTGCATTGGCAATAATCCGTGCCAAAAATCCAACACGAGGCTCAAAGCGCTTGCGTGATGAGGAGTCAGCGAAGGAGAATCCGCTTAGAGGAATTATCAATTGGGTTAGCGTAAGGTGTTCAATTTTATAAAAAGAGAAATGTCAATTAAAAAGAACAATATGTTAAAGTTATAATATTTATATGTTACATAATATTTTGTTGGTAGAAGCCGAATCAATGCCATACTAGCTTATAAGTTACTAAAACAATCTAATAATAATTTACTGTTTTTTAACATTTTTAATTATGGTACACAGGTACACGACGCAATTCTCATCCACCCCATCACTCCTACTTTGATTGTGCGCGGTGACATGTTGGACAGTGGCGAACAGTGTTACATCGCATGGAAGGGTATGAATATACCTATCGGATGCAACATTATCTCTGCGTTTGGAAAGCTGTATCAGAGTTTCGACGTGTTTGCCGTAGATTGCGTGCCCAGCGACAAGCAGTTCTTTCTTTTCTTCAAGGCGGCTGTTTTCGCTGTCAGTAAAATCGGAACTACTGGGGAAAAATTTGTGCGTTCTCTAGGGTAAAAATCAGTTGGTCCAGTAGAATTAATCAGTATCTCAGCAAATTTCCTACAAGTTTTTTTTATAGAAAAAATCGCAATTGTTTAGAGATATAGGAGTATGGTCGATTACCTTTTTGTGAAATTAAAATGTAGAGTAAAAATCTAGCGTGTTAGTCAGAGAAATGATTTATTGTCACAGGAGAATACGATTATAAACAAAAATACGTTTGAATAAATAGAAACAATGGTTAAGTTTTATTATATTTCTTTTCATTGAATACCAAAATTACAAATAAAAGAGAGGAAAACATAAAAAATACCGAGAAACCGCAGAAAAAACTACCGAATTGCAGTAAACATTTTTACCGAAAAGCAGTAAAATATTTTACCAAAGAAATCGGCAAATTATGACAGCCGGGACAAATTTTGTTCTGCCGATCTCACGGCATACAAATGGTTTACCAAGATGTTTGCCGAGAGCTCGGCTGTTGGATTCTCGGCAGTGTTTTTTGCCGGGTTCGGCAAAAAAATCTAAGTGTGTAGTACTTCGCATTCTCTTCCACTTTTGTCTTTCACATCATTTAATACCAATAAAACCAATATTCTACTAACCTGTTAAATCACTCACCTAATCAAGTATCTGCATGTCAAATGGAATGAAGATAGTAATTTACTATATTCTCATCATTTATGTGTGTTACACTCACAACTTTTACTACACAATTTATTTCTAAATGACATGAATCATCACACTAAATTACTATTATAATGATATGCCATAAATAGATAGCTTATGTAACGTAATATCAACTTTAGACTGAACTTGGCGTTAATCTGCTCCAACTTTCCTATGATCCGTTATATTTGAAACATGTTTGTGCCATTTTGAAAAATGAATCGATTCAAAAGACCGATTCAAAAAGATCGATTCAAGTGGAGATGAACCAGCCTAAGGCTGAAAGTCTCGTTAATAAAGAAAAAAAAAAAAAGATCGATTCAAAACGATTGATTAAATTTCAAAAAAAAAAATGAATCGATTCACTAAGATCGATTCTTGCCTCAAAATCGCCCAATGCTAGTCCGGTCATCATCATCAGCAGCAGCAGCAGTGCTTTCGGTGCGTGGCGTTGTACATTTTTTCCAGTACACAACGAAAGGCTATCAAGGCAACCCTCAAGAGCCCTCGCTTCACCGAAGAAGGAGGAAGAAACCGCACCGCTACTGATCGGATTCAGTAGCTCTTCGTGAGTCGCTGTGTGCCATCTATGCCAAGCGCGTCCCCTTCTTTCCAAATTGCATACAGCTCGCCAGCCTTATCATAATTTCATAGATCTTCCCAAACATTGATCCGTGACCAACTTTTATGGCTCATGATCAATTTGATTGAAATTAAATATCTATCATGAAAACTAACATGAACTGTCTAAACCCAGATGTTGATTTCGATATAAGAAATCACCTCGTACTAGGTACTTCTAAACAAGTCACCTCTTAACCCTACTGCTTTGGTTTACTCTCAATTGTATCCAAGAGAAAGCTCATTACGGCCATGAATACTTTTCTCCTTCAGCAACAAAAAACGAAACCTCCACAAAACAGAAAAAACTTGCCACCTTCCCAGCTACCATCCGAAAAGACAACGCGAAAGGGGGAGAAAGCGGGTAAGAACTTACCGAAACTAGCCTCAAACTTTCTTAAACATTTTTATCATTTGGCTGTGCTTTCGCTGGCACTATGCTCTTCCCTCTGCCACCAGGCGTTATTGCAAAGAAGCAGCCTCAGAAGTAAGCCAAGGGGAATTAGCATTGCAAATTTCCGGCTTGGCTCGGAGTGGGTTGGCGCTGAGATGGAAATCCCGCTGATGGAGGCAGACTAGTGAATTTGTAACTGTTGTGTGTAAGTGTGCAGGACTTGCGGAATCTTTGAATAATGGATGCTGGTTTTGGTGGTGAGTTTTTCCCTTTTCCCTCAGTCGGTCGGATTGAAGGTTAGTGTGCAAGCAAAGGATAATTGAATTATTAATTGTTACGCAAAATGTGCACTCACTGTATGGGCATTCACTCGAAACGGTTCAGTTGATCACCGCACAAAATCCAGAAAGCAATTCCCCACCAAGGAAACGATTCTGTGGCCAAAAATTATTACGCTTCGGTGCAGAACGACGACGATCGAAGGTTGATGGTTGCGGTTTTCCCGGTGCCCGTTCCAATCTCCGCCGCCGACCGAAATGAAAGCTCATCTATCGTTGAATCTCGGTGTACGACATTCGGAAAATTGATTGGAAAATGGGCGGCCCCCGGGTTATTACAGAAGCAATTTGTGGCCAGAAATGAATAATGTCTCTTCCTGGTTCGGTCTGGTTGTGGATTGCGTGGGGGGGGGGGGGAGAAAGAAGAACGGCCTGACGGGGACGTGTTCCTTATAGCTGCTGACGACTTCGATATTGAAATATGACCCATCAGCATGCACATCACGTACCGCGTCGTCGCTCCACATTGGGGACAAGCCCTGGGAAGGTGGGTTATTGTAAGTAAGTAATACTGCATTCTACGCTGCGATGCTGTACCTACGGAAGACGATGAATCCTGCGTGATCTATCATAAATGGGTGCTGGAGTGGGCATTGAGGGAGGCGAACGAGGACGGTGGGCGTTGGCGTATGATGATGTAGATGGTGAGTTGAGTGATAGTCAGTTTTGATCAGGAACACCATATTGGATAACGGTGCCTGAATAAGAATGAGTGCGAGGGCCTGATGGGGGCATTTCCTTTGCCATTGTTAGACGTAGACATTCAATGCGTATTTTCTTATATTTAACAAAGGCTGGGAAGTCGGACGCATTTTATAGCATAAGGAATAGGAGTCGGCGTCGATCAAAAATCACCAGCTGCGACTCCGACTCCGGATGTTATGAAAAATTATCAAGCTGGATTGTACAGAAAGTGGGCCCACGTGTAAATTTTTGTTATTCATGACCATAGGGCGCTTCGTTTCAAAAAAAAAGTTTAAGATTTCTTATATGCCACCCTCCATATTTGCATTTGGTTTTATGCTTTTCTTTGCGAATTTCCTCCATCGTGACAATTCTCAGGGGTAACATGGAACCTTTTTGCTGATTAAAAAGGCACTAGCGTACAAACAGAACTTAATTCTTAATGAAGCTATGCCAATACTTATCAGCAACTTGAAAGTTCAAGATTAGTTCTTCTGGTGTTGTCAATTTCAACTTTAAAGTTCACAAAAAGTAATAAAAATTAGAGTTGGTTGGAAATGCTAACATGAAGCTTTAGTGTGATAATTTATTAGCTAGAGAATGATATTAACCCTACTGCCTTCTCTCTGAGATGACCAAGTTGGTCATGACGAGAGGAGCAACACAATAGTTGGGTAAAGAAGAATTGCATTATAACACACCTTCGGCTGGATGTTTATAGAGATGATCGCGATAAATTATTATCCAACAAAAAATGCGGTGGAGGTGTGTTAATAGCAGTTAGCGTGGAGTATGAATCTGAGCAAATTTCATCTTGCAAGAACAAGGAGTTTGACCATGTATGGGTCAAATTAATTATTGGTGATCGTGTTCATATTTTCGCGGTTGTGTATTTTCCACCAGAACATGCTAAAAAAGAAGCATTTGAAAAATTTTTTGGTCTTGCTAGCAGTATTATGTCGGAATTCGAGGCTGAAGCAAACGTTCACATATACGGAGATTTTAATCAACGGGCAGCTAATTTTATTGTAGATGACGAAAATGAATCCATTTTGATTCCGATTATGGGGGAAAATGAAACACTTCATACTTTGTTTGAAAAATGCGCAGAAATTGGATTGAATCAAGTAAATCATATAAAAAATCAAAATAACTGCTATTTAGATTTGCTATTTACTACCATGACTGACGATTTTTGCGTATCAGAGTCACCTTCTCCTCTTTGGAAAAATGAAGTGTTCCACACTGCTATTGAATATTCCATAATGATACTTGAAAAAACCGCAATGGTGGATAATAATTTGTCAGACCCCTATTTCGATTTCAGTAAGGCAGACTATGGAGCTATCAAAAATAAATTGAACAGTATAGATTGGCAACTTGTAATCCGTGGTCATGATACAGAACATGCAGTTGATGTATTCTATCAGATTATTTATTCTATTCTAGAACAGACAGTGCCCATGAAGCAAAAGAAAAAAGCCAATGCAAAAACACCAATATGGTACAATAGACAGATAATAAATCTTAGAAACAGAAAGCAGAAAGCTCATAAAGCGTACAAGAGAAACAAAAATGATGAAAATTTTACCTATTATCTTACTATTTGTGACCAACTTAATTTAGAAATTGAAAATGCATATGAAGAGCACAATAGAAAGATTGAAACTAACATTAAGTCAGACCCAAAATCCTTTTTTAACTATTTTAAAGAAAGGCAAAAATCCAAGAGCTTTCCATCCAAAATGCAATTAGACAGTAAGTTGGGCAATACTCCTAGTCAGATTAGTAACTTATTTGCTGACTTCTTTCAGGACGTTTATACAATTCATGATGAGA